ATATGTATTATATTAATTAAAAATTGATTAAATAAATATCTAATTTTATTTTTTTAATAATAATTAATATTATGTTCTTAAAAGTACAGTTTAAAAAAACTTTTGTTGTAATAAAAGGCTGAGTTTGTCGATGGTTAGCCAAACCCAACTTCGTGTTGGGCCTATAGAAACCCTCAAGACCAGCAACTTAGTGTTCATAACAATCTATGATTCCATGTGTTAAAATCCGTATGACCGGCTGGACTGCTCTGTAACGCTTTTTCTTCGAGTACTAAGGGACGGTTTAACTTAGGTTTAATGCTAATTTTGGTCCCTCAACTTTAAAATTTTACATAATTTTCATCTCTCAACTTTTTATGCATTTTTTTTGTCATTTAATTATGAAAAATGAACTTTTTTAATCCTTCTGTTAGTTAATCTATTAAATTTGTCTAAATATGTATATTTTTAGTCCCTTAATTTCTAATATATACACATTTTTATACTTCGACTTTAAATTAAAAGACTAAAAATATACATATTTAAATAAACTTAATAGACTAACATGTTTGGTGAAACTTATAAGAGTTTCAACTTTTTGACACTATTCATATTTTATAAATTAAATTTTTTTTCTTAAAAACTTACATTTTTTAACTTCTTTTTAATCTTAACAAGATCTTAAACAATAAATTTTAAAAAGTTTCAAATTTGTGCTTTTTATAAATCTTCTTTTTACTTGCTTCTTACTCACTTTTTTTTATTTCTAAAAGTAACTTTTTAATTTTTTCTCCAATAAAAATTTAAACTTATCACTCATAAACAATACAAAAAAATAAAAGCTCTTGCAAGTTTTGTCAAACATGCTCTAATTGACAAAATGACTAAAAAGGTATATTTTTCATAGTTCAGAGACAAAAAAATACAAAAAAAAATTGTAAGATGAAAATTATGCAAAACCTCAAAGTTAAAAGACCAAAATTGACATTTACCCTTTAACTTATTAATAGTTTAAAATTTTTAATTAAAAATTAAAAATTAAAATTTTATTAAAAAAATGTGAGGAAGAGAATGGACTCTTAAATAATTTATTATCAGATATATTTAAAAAATTCTTTTTCTTTTTGTTCTTTCTTTTGTTTAATGTTTAAAAATAGGTAACGCAATAGTTTGGTTTTTCTATTTTAATAGAACTCTGGTTAAAACTTTTGGAAAGGTAACTTTGACCCCCAATGATTTTAGCCGTTAAGAATTTAAACTTGTGCATTTGAGGTTTGAAGTCAAAACCTAAATAAAGGTGGGGTTTTTTTTTTTTTTTTTTCAAAAAAAAGAGTGTCGTCTTGTTATCTCCTATTGCAGTGCTCATTTCGATATATATATATATATATATATATATATTTTTAACACTGGGAAAATGGATTGAGGAGAGGAAGTAAGTCATGGGTTTAGAACCCAAGACATACGGTCATAATTCACATGTTCAAGTGGGTGACTATTAAATCACCCCGGATTGGACTATTTTGATATTTTCTTTAGAGAGAGAGAGAAAAAAAAATCTAGCTTAACTTCAATTATTCCATCCTCTACTAGGGCAAATAGACACCCCTAGTAAGAATAGGACAAAGAAAAATTTGGCATGGGTCATTCCCTTAGACAAACAAGTAACTAAATGTTACTACTAGCAAAAGGTCAATTAATTTAGTGTGGTAATGATATAACTATCACAATGAATTATAAATTTATAATTATTACATT